TCGTCTCCTGCCCCTCACTCACCAAACCAACTTCTGGACTCCCTGGAGCAAACACATCGTAGGAGCCAGTCTGCCCTGGCAACGGAGAGCGGGCTCCTTTCCTCTGCAGCCGCAAGCCCACCGTGTGATGGCCCACGTTTTTAAGGAGCTCCGTGACCTCCCCTGAGTGCACGTTGTCAAAGTAGATGGTGGCGCTCACAATCTGGTCTCCTGGAAAAAGAGAACGAGAAACACACATGAGGCCCTTCGATGAGGAAGATGCTCAAGGAGGCATCCGTGGGTGGGATGAAGGAAGGATGCGGAGGATGAAGGCAGTGTCGCAACACAAGCGCCACCCCGCTTGTAGATGCGTCATCTCATGCACGGGCACAGAACGGACGGAACATACAGCACGGCGCTGCTCCTTCTGTCGCCGAGAGAAGAGCATTAGATCTCGCGGACACCTTTTGCGTTCAGGGGAGCCCAACGTGAGGGAGGAATGTCAGAACAGACGTGTGGGATGTTTCCATTCAGTCCAGCTTTCCATCACCAGGGGCCCTCTAATCATGCTTGGCTGGGGATGATGGAGGTCCTAATCTAGCACATCCGCCAGAAGGACAGGACCTTGACTGATCTGTTGCTACCTGAGAGCATCCAACCTTCTACAATGAAGATCCTTCGTTCGCAACGGTCCCCAGACTGTTTCACTAACCTTCCTTCACAATTCCTGTCTTGGCGGCCGGTGAGCCCTGTTGAATCTGCTTCACGAAAGCACCTCCGTCCGTCTCATTGATCGTAATCCCACGAGAGCCGCTGCCCTGCCAATCTGGGAGCAAGATCTCCCGGGTATTCTCTTCCTCCTCCATCTTAGGCACAGAAACAAGAAACTGTGAAAATCCCAGGCTTAAAAATAAAAATAGGGGAAAGTCCTACTCTGGATGTATCCAAATTGCACAGCACGGAAAACTGAACTTATGCTAGAACTGTAATGGATTATACATCGAATATATATATTTTTTTGGTCCTGTTTTCCCACCAAGGATCTCATGAGGATGCCAGTTCCTGCTGTGTCTTTCTTACGTCTATATCCTAACCAGGTGGGCTGGAATGATGGCAACTGGGCCTAAGTGACCTCACGCGACACATTAAATCCAGGTCAACAAAACATAGCTCCCTATGTCCCCACCATAAAATACGCCACAAAAGAAACCATACTGTGGATTAACCTGATGACCTGGGAAACGCTGCCTGAGAAGAGAAGGGGGATGAGGGTCCTACAATATGCTGAGCCAAAAAGCACAACCACAAAACTTTTAGACCCATTTTAACTGAGTTTAGCATGTTGGGCAAACTCTGCTAGTGAAACCTGAACCTGAACAGTCTACACCCAGTGGGGTTTTTCCCCCCACTTTGCTGTACCACCTCCTTATTCCGCTCAATGGCTAGGACAGTGTTTCTCCACCTTAACAACTCTGAGATGTGTGGACTTCAACTCCCAGAATTCCCCAGCCAGCTTGCTGGCTAGGGAATCCTGGGAGTTGAAGTCCACACATCTCAGAGTCACCAAGGTGGAGAAACACTGGGCTTGGAAGATGAATGCTGCAAACCAGTCCATTTGCACTGCTCTGCATTTTTGCAGAAACAAAAGCTACAATATTTACTCAGCTTTTTGAATCAAATCCCTCTGAGTCAGGTTTGACTCCTATTTATTTCATGACTCTTTTGAAAGGTTGTTTTGACTCCCGGTCTAACCCATAGCCCTGGGATTCCTCTCTTATCCAAGTACAAACAAGATCCAACCCTGCTGAGCTTTTCCAGATCAACCACAGTGAGCCAGGTGGTGACATTTAGAGAAATGCATTCAAGATTTGAATTGACCAGCAAAGCTATCCGCAACACACACAGATGGAATGCATTGAAAATGGATTCATTTAGGTAGGAGTTAGACTTTGCAGGGTGATGTATTACAGAATACCCAACAAATACTCTACAGGTAGTCCTCACTTAACAACCATTCATTTAGTGACCATTTGAAGTTGCAATGGTGCTGAACAAAGGGACTTACAACCAGTCCTCACACTTACAGCTGTCACAGCAGCCCTGCGGTCTCATGATCACGATCCGGGAGCTTGGCAACCAGCTTGCACTTATGATGGTTGCGGCGTCCCGGGGTCACATGATCACCATTTGTGACCTTCCCAGTCGGCTTCTGGCAAGCAAAATCAATGGGGAACCATGTGATTCGCTTAATGACCATGTGATTCACTTTATGGCCATGGTGATTCACTTAATGACTGCTGAAAAAAAGGTCATAAAATTGGGCATGATTTGGTTAACAACTGCCCTGTTTAACAACCAATATCTAGTTCCTATTGTGGTTGTTAAGTGAGGGCTACCTGTAGTCTGTCCTTTCGATTATATTTTCTTTTCAAATCCCCTTTTTTTCCTGACTGCTTTTGTGACAGGTCCAATCACAGCTTGGGGGAAAATGGATCTCAAATTTGCCCTGTTACCAGCTTCCCTTCCCTTTTACTGTAAATTGCCCAGAATCACTCTGCAGTGAGATGGGTGGTGACAAATTTGAAATATAAATCAATAAAATCAATAAAATAAAATTCTCAGGAACTTTCTGATCTACATGACGAAATTGACAAAAGGCTGCCAAAGGTGACACAGATAAACAGAAGGGGGGGACACTTCTCACTGCTGCTTCCCCCAGGAAGAATTTGGTAAGCACAGATTCCTGCTTCTGCGCCTTTGCTGCCGACCTGCAGCCAGGCCCTCTCTCTCAGCCCTAGGAAGAGGATAATGGCAAACCACAGCCGAAAAAACCCACGGGGACTTGTCCAGGCAATTGCCAGGAGCCAAGACTGACTTGGAGGTGCAAAGGTATCATCTACACATATCTACACCTCCAAGTCAGGGTTGACTCCTGGTGACTGCCTGGAATAGTCCCTGCAGTTTTCTTGGCCAGATTTTTCAGAAGGGGTCTGTCTCTGCCTCCTTCTTCCTAGGGCTAAAGAGAGAGGGACTGGCCCAAGGTCACCCATCTGGATTCTGTGCCTATGACAGGACTTGAACTCATGGCCTCCTGGTTTCTAGCCTGATGCCTTCAACCACTACAACTTTCAACTTATTATTAGATACATTACAGGTAGTCCTCACTTAGTGACCACAACAGGGACCTGAAAATTGGTTGTTAAGCAGGGCATCATGTGACTGCACCCGATTTTACGACCTTTTTTGCAGCAATTGTTAAAGCGCATCATGTGGGTGCTAAGCAAATTGTATGGTCGTTAAGCGCATCATGCAGCTCCACACTGATTTTGCTTGCTGGAAGCTGGCTGGGAAGGCCCCAATGGCAATCACGCGACCCCAGGATGCTGCAACCATTGTAAGTGGGAGCTGGTTGCCAAGTGCCCGGATCACAATCATGTGACTATGGGGGCACTGCGACAGTCATAACTTCGGACACTGATCGTAAGTCACTTTTAGCGTCATCATAACTTTGAATGGTCGCTAGACGAACAGTCATTAAGCGAGGTCTAACCTGTATACACATCGGTACATAAAATATTAGTATGGCTTGATTTTGTATTATTTTAGATAAAAGTATACACATGTAAAAGCACTCCAATTATTTTCTTCCCATACCCCAACAGATCATCTTGGGCACGCATCTCACTTCGGAGACTACTACTGTAGTTATTTTACAGATCGCTTCGTAGCGGATCCCTCTTCTGAACGGGAAATCAAATCCTTTGGGCCTCTGGCAAGGAAGCGGCCTCTGATCCTGAGGATCCTGCTTTGTCAGAGCCCCTCCTTGCATTCCCAATATATGTCCCAAACTTACAGCCTTCCTGATGTGTTGGACTACAGTTCCCATTATCCCCATCCAACATGACCGTTGGAAGGATGGGCACTGGAGTCTGACCCATCCGGAAGGTTGGAGAAAGCTATGGAAGATGATGACCATTCAGTTACTGCTGTTTCTAAAAAGTAGGTGCAAAGATGAGTTGTCGTGCAGTCTCTGACCTTTCTAGGACTTTTCCAGGTAGGATCCGCCCCAGGAATTCAGTACTTCTCACTTTCCAATCCCTTGGTAATGTTCGTTCCAACTTCTCAACCTAGAAAAGAAATTAAAACTTCTGGTGAATAAAATAACTCACAATTTTTCTGGAACCCAAATTGCCAGAATTTTACCAAGCACAGGACTTGGCAGCCTGACATGCCAGCGTTGACTCCCCCCCCCCCCTTTCATTTTCTAGGGGTATTTCCTGCTTAGCTGCAAAAGTAAGCTTTAAGGGAACCAGCAGTGCCTGATGCTATCTCGACCGACGGCCTGATCTTTTCAAGATAGGAAGAAACAGAACTTTTTTTAAGCGGCAGCTTTTGCAATTGGCTTGACAAAGCGTGCTGTGCGGTTTGAAAGCTTGCCCGTTCCTCACTAACACCAGCTGGCTGAATGAAAAGACACTTTTAACTACCAGTGGACAAATACTCTTAGACGTATCCCCAAGGAAGTACATCTGTAGTTACTAATGCTTATACGTCAACAGCATTAACTTGCCAGAACAAATCTATTCCAAAGAACACCATCTCATAACAAGCCATCATTAATATCTGACAAAGCCCCTGAATTCAGTTGTCATAGCGAACACGAGCTCACTGTTTGCCTCAATTCACTGGGACAAAAAAGCCACCTCAGACAGACGTATGTTCTGTGGAAAAGGAGCGGGTTTTGCCTACACGGTAGCTTCAGCTAATTTTCTTAGAATGCCCTTTCAAATATTATAAATGAAGGCCAAAGCAGTTTTCTTTTTTCCCCATCTAAGCGCCACAGAAGCAGTTCTGTTCATGCAAGACCCTCAAAATCTCACACACTGAATTAGTATAAAAATTGATACTGAATTAGTAATAAAAAAGCTTGGTTTGTGTTAAACTGGGCTTATTTTTGTGGCTTAGTATACGGTGTGGACTCCATCGGTTTGCGTAGTTCATGATTCAACGTATTGCACAAAGCCAGAAAATGGAGTAATTCGGGAACTAAGTTAAGTGTGTGGTGTGAATGGGCTCAGGTTACTTCCCTGATGACTCTCACCAATCTGAAGTAAACTGTGCCTAAATCAACTCTCTAAATCCTTTCCTTGCAGAAAAAGGAAGGTTCCCATCAAACAGTAATATTTGCTCATTTCCACCAGTGTAAATCTGGTGTCAAACCATGATATTTTTACTGCTAGATGGACTATACTACTATACTACTATAACCCAAGGTTTACATAACAGCTTCCACTTGCTTACAGGTAGTCCTCGCTTAACAACCACAATAGGGATTGGAAAATTTGTTGTTAAGCGGGGCGGTTGTTAAGTGAGTCGCACCCAATTTTACCACCTTTTTTGCAGTGGTCATTAAGCGAATCACCGCAGCTGTTAAGCAAATCACACGGTCATTAAGCAAATCATGCAATTCCCCATTGATTTTGCTTGCCAGAAGCCAGCTGAGAAGGTCGCAAATGGTGATCATGTGACCCTGGGACACTACAACCGTCATAAGTGCAAGCTGGTTGCTGAGCACCTGGATCGCGATCATATAACCATGGGGTTGCTGTGATGGTTGTACGTGCAAGGACTGGTTGTAAGTCCCTTTGTTCAGCACCATTGCAACTTCAAATGATCACTAAACAAATCGTTGTTAAGTGAGGACTACCTGTACTTCAACAGTTGGTGATCCCATTTTTTAGCTTCTCCCAATACATTGAAACCTCAATTAACCCAAAGGGGTGGGTTTATACAACACGCTGCCTCCTAAAAAAAAAAACTAACCTCAGTTTAAAATTCACCAAATTCACCCTACTGTGCGAATGGGGCCACTGGCACTTAACTGACACAGTTAAAGCACGTTGTATGAACAGTTAATGTGGCTTGCAAGGCACTAGAAAACTGAAAAGCAACTGAAGGAAGGTAACCCAGCCCCGGCAGGCCAACTCCCCTTGGGTGCTGGGCGATTTTCTAAATTGGTTGAGCAAGTCACTGTTCCCAGAGGACGAGCATTCAAAGTATGGTACAAACGCCAGCAGGAATGTAAAGCCTGTATCTGTCCTGCGTCTGCACTTCAGAAGAACAGGCTGTCAGAACAAGCAACTTTAATGGGTAAGGAATTAATGGCAGCAATTCACACATTGTCCAAAGCTGTGGTTGGTTTGAATCACTGTCGTTGGTTTCAATAAGCCACAATTGGCTGGACAAACATCAAAATGCTCAGCCATAACCATTGTTTATCTACCACCATGGTTGGCTTCCTAACCTCCAATCTCCATACAGATAGTCCTAGTTTAGCGATTGCCTCATTTACAATTATGACAGTGATGAAAAAGTAACTTTGCGACCATTCCGTGCATTTACGACCTTTGCAGGTCTGTACAGGTAGCCCTCAAATTATGACCATTCATTTAGCGACTGTCTGAAGTTCCGACGGTGCTGAAAAAAAGGACTTATGACTGGTTCCCAAAGTTACAGCCGTTGTAGCACTGCCTTGATCGCATGATCAAAATCACCCATATTTATGACCGCAGGGCCGCGCCAACTCCCCCACCTGCCTGTCTCCCCCCATCTCTACCTTTTTGGCCGCCCAGTGCCCTGCCTTGTGGGGCAGCAAGCAGCCCCAGAACAGCGTGGCTCTGGGGCTGCTTGCTACACTGCAGTTCAGGGGCTTCTTGGCACGCTGTGGCTTTGGGGCTGCAAGAAGTCCGAGCTGCAGCACAGTGCAAAGCTGCAGCCCCCCTGGAAGCCTGCAGTGCCCAAGTGCCAGCAAGCATTCGTTGGCCCAGCTGCCTTCTCCCCCAGTTCCCCGCATCGATCTTTTGCCTTTTGTGCCCAGCCGCTGCGGCTGAAGCAGAAGCGCCTCTGGTGAACATTTCCTACGTGTGGCTCCCTCGCAGCTTCCTGAAGGCAGCGCAGCTTTCCGAAGACTTTCCGACTGGGCAAAACCGCTTCTGGCCTTCTCCACTGGCTGGCCTTCTTATCTGATGGGCTGGGCGGGGGAGCCACATGCAGGAAACGTTTGCCGACGAAGCTGGATCCGAAAAGGGGCTCCTGCTTTGCCCTCTTCCTGGGCACTGCAGTTTCTGGCGCTTGCTGTGGCAGGCGGGGGC